CAAAACACGTTGATTCACATCGATAGCTCCGGTTTTCGCTATGTAATTCTGGCTTGAAAAGCAATCAAGAAATGTATGCATAAAATCGAGAACATGCATTTACAACCCTCTTCAATTTATTCCTGTCCTTTCACAAAGATTATTTTGAAATTGACTATTGACATTTCTATGCGTAAAATAATATTAAAGGTGGAATACTTTATAAAAAGTATGATCTATCAAATGTTAAAATTTTTCGAAAAAATAGTTTATTCCATTCCGAGATGATCCTAAGACCTTTATTTTGCTTTAAAGATAAAAAAAATACAGGTTTAGTAATATTTAACTCTTTGAAACAAAATAAATTAATTTTTAACTTTTTTCTTAACCGTAACTGAAAAAAAATAACCGATAGCCGTAAAAGAGCCAAAAAATTTTAGCCGATAACCGTAAAAGCCACCACCCCATTGAGACCCTCCTCTATTGTTTAGTGTCTTTTCCATCTTTTATATTACTTCATTTTATGATTACACCCATCAGTGACACCATTCAAACTACCCTTCAACTTTACAGTGGCCCTTCCCCAGGCTGCACCATCTCTGAAAGATTCCATGAATTCTTATCATCAGTGATTTTACTTCCGACAGGGAAGACAAGGAAGATAGCAATCGGCGTGAGTGTTGGCGCAGTGATGCTAATTGATTGCACTCGTTATCTCTATTGTCTGCTTCGTTAGACGGAGAAAGGCCCGTGCGTTAAGTGACCAATTGATGACAGTCAATGCAAGGAATACCAGTTCTGTTACCACAACGGCAACTAGAAATGATGCAAGAAATACCAGATATGCTGCCACGCTGTTGACTAGAGCTAATGCAGGAAATGCTGGCCCTGTTACCGCAATGGGAACGAGAAATAATGCAAGAGATACCAGTCTTGCTGCCACAAGAGCAATCACTACTGCATCCTATGGGACACAAACTTCACCTACATCCCCTCAGTTAACAGGGCAACATTCAGTAAACCTCAGTCCATCGATGAACTCTGTTTCACTTCAAACAATACCATCAGGACCACCCCCAGTGTACCCAGGTTCACCCGACTCACCACCACCCTACCCAGGAATTGTTGAAGTTTCGCAATATCCCCAGCCGAATGCTCCGCCCGTAAGTCCTTAAAGTAGTATCGGGACTAGCCTGAGTACAGACCTCCCGCCTCCCCACCCTTATGGAGGGAAGGTCTGTACACAGGCTATATGGAAACTTAATAATTTTGCAGCAAGACGGTCAGTTTTAATTGCCCACGACAAGGATTCAAAGAAAACTTTTATAGATTCCTTTTAGTCCGAAAGTCTTGAACATTTTACACCTGCTTTGAGTCGCATTTATTTGCTTTGACTTCGTCTGCATTCTGGGATGTGAACCATGAACCGCCGAAAATTCAGTTGAAACAGTTGACTCTATGTGGCTGCGAATGCTGCAAGAAGTGTGCCAGGTTGAAGGAAAAGTCACTCCATGGCGTTAAGCTTCGAAGGACTTTATGCTAGTTTTAATACAATATCCAGAGCAAAAAACAAAGAAATCAAATAAATTGTTCTTTGTTATATTTTTCCGATAGCCATTCAGAATGGAGATTAATCAGTTTGGTGCTTACGTTGCTATTTCACATTCTCCACCAATGTATTATTAATAGCAGAATCTAAATTGCAACTTAACTGACGTATCAAATAACTAATTTTTAAAGAGCATGACGGGATAGAACCAATTTGGAGTGTGCGTATGTTTTTTAAAATGTCAATAAGATAGCGGCAAATTCAAAAATCCAAGATTGATAATTTTTGATTCTATGGCGTCATGCTCTATAAAAATTATTTTTATGTTACATCATTAGCTGTTGAAATTTAATTTTTGCTGTAAATCTTGTACAACATTTTCCCTTCCAAAACCGTCCAAATCGAAAAATTAAAATGCAAAATTCTACAATCCTACAAATTTTAAACTCAGCAAACGGAAAACACTGCAAAAGTTCCGGATCAATTTAGGTTTCTGGGAAACTGCCCACCTACCCCTCTCCTAAGCAAACATTAACACTTACTTCTCACTAAGGGCAAAATGTTGGCTTAGGGGAGGGGTAGGTGTGCAGTTCCTCAGAAACCTTAACTGATCTAAAGGTCCTATGCAACCTTGCTCCCAGGGAAAACCCTTGGGAGAGGTTGGTAGGCGCCGTGAAAAAAAGAACCCCTAAAGTTTTTTAAACGGTGGGGAAGGGTGGGGTGTACAAGGTGCATTATGGACTACGTCGGGAGACCATGACTAATAAGCTCCTGCCAATGTGAAAATGGTGAATAGAGTGAAGTTTCATGCGTTTTACTGAACCAGCGTTTCTATAACAAATCACTTAAAGACTGGTCCCTCGGGAAACAATCAATTTGTTTTCCTAGAATCTCAATGTTTTCTCGGGAAACAAAATTAACTGTTTCCCTCGGGAAACATAACATGGAAAGCTAATAAAAGCGACCGTTAAAAAGTCAAATGTTAAAAAGTTCTTACATTAAAATAAAATGAAACTGAGGAAAAGTGGAAAGCCTGTCACTTTTTCACATTCCTATTTTCCCCTTAGTCAGTTTTCCTAGCATAATTTTTTAGGGTTCCTTATTTCTTCCAATGATCAGAATAAGCTGGCTAATGTAGAAAACTAATAATAATACACAAATAGAAAAGATCCGAGTTATTCGGAGAAATAGATGGCTGTAGAGCTAAGTGAAAAACAAATTAAGCAAAAGAAGTATTAACTTAAAATTGCATATTCAAACACCGTCAAGAATCTCAAGTATACAAACTGCCAAGGTTTGTTCATTCGCACCAAGAAAACATGCTGAATTAAAGCAGGTTTACTAAAGGAAAATTGTCAGAAAAATGGCTTATTTGCACAGTTTTCAAGTACTGATGTGCCTTTAACTATTGCTTAAAAATTTAGGATGCTTCTGAGGGTCACGTTTTCATTTAGGAACTTCTTCAGTGGTAACTTCCTTTTCAGCTGCGTTTCTTCCTAGATAGATAAAACATTCAAATGGGTAAATTAACCGGGGAAATATATGAAGTTTGCGTAACTCGTACGACGTGATAATGTGCTGTAAATACCAAATTTACAAACAAAACTTTTAGTTTGCAATTAATTTGAGCGGAGGTGCCAAACATTCGGTTAATTTTAATTAACCGGATGCTCGAGCCTTTAAAAAGACCCGACGTTTTCTATGGCTTTGTCTAACAAACAAATGCTACAAAGTATTAATTCCACACAAAGTCCTTCTCTTGTCTGCAATTAATTTGCGCGGAGGGGCCAAACGTTCGGTTAATTAAAGACTCGACGTTTTTATGGCTTTGTCTAACAAACAAACGATACAATGTATTAAGTTATCACAAATTCCCTCTCTCGTCACGTGATAGCGGGCAAAGAACATTTTTTAAGCAGAACTTCTTTGTGAGGCAGTCATATTAAAGCACCATGTCACTGAATTTGAACAGTTCGTGATATGGCAAGTTTCAGGCGTTTTACTGAACTGGCGTTTAACCTACGCCAGGCTTCAGCCTGCATTTAAATATTAAGTCTATGTATGGTAGTCAGGTGCGGTGTCAATATTTCTAGCTCAAAAGACGGCTTAGCTAGTAGTCATTGTTATAGAGCTGGACATTTCTTTCCAACAGCGCGTGCTCTCATTGGTTACTTCGAGGTCCAACATGACAACTAAGAATGAAACTGTTTTCCGGCAAAATCTCTCAGCCAGTAAAATTGCAAAATCTATGACGTCAGACGGTAACAGACGTAACAGTGCACTGTTACTGGCGAATGTTAAAAGACGATCGCCTATACTGCGAGGTTTAATGAATTTCCAGCTTCAAAATTTCCAGCTGTATAACAAATCACTTGAAGGCTGGTCCCTCAGCTTGAAAAACAGTTAAACTTTTTCCCTCGAATCTCAATGTTTTCTCGGGAAACAAAGTTAACTGTTTCCCTCGGGAAACCTAACATGCAAAGCTGATAGAAGCGACCGTTAAAAAGTCAAATATTAAAATAGTTCTTTTTTAAAATAAAATGAAACTGAGGACAAATGTAAAGCCTGTCCCTTTTTTTTTCACTTTGTTCCCATTAGTCCATTTTCCTAGCGTAATTTTTTAGTGTTCCTTATTTATTGAAATGGTCTTTATTTTCTCCCAATGATCACAGCAACCCGGCTAATAGATACATGGACAATACACAAATAGAAAAGATCGGCGTTATTCGGAGAAACTGTTGACCAGAGCTAAAGTGAAAATCAAATGAAGAAAAAGACGTATTGACTTAAAATTGTATATGACAAAGACCGTCAAGAAGCTCGAGTATACAAACTAACAAGGTTTGTTCATTCGCACCAAGAAAACATGTTGAATTAAAGTGGGGTTACCGAAGTGAAAATTGTCAGAAAAATGGCTTTTTTGCATACGTTTGAAGTACTGGTATACCTTTAACTATTACTTAAGAATTTGGGATGCTTCTGAGGGTCAAGTTTTCAGAACAGCTTCTTAATAACTTCCTGTGCAGCTACGCTTCGTCCTAGATAAATTAAATATGGTCAAATGGGTAAATTAACCGGGAAAATAAATGACGTTTGCACAACTCTGTCGTGCGACGTGATAATGTCCTGCAAATAACAAATTTATAAACAAGACTGTTAGTTCGCAATTAATTGGCGCGGAGGTGCAAAACATTCGTTTAATTAAAGACTCGACGTTTTTGATGGCTTTGTCTATTGACAAACAAACGATGTTAATTTGACACAAAGCCCCTCGGTCGTCACGTAATAGCGGGCAAAGAAGACTTTTAAGGCAGACCTTCTTTGTCAAGCAGTCACATTAAAGCACCTCTCAATGAATTTGAACAGCTCGTGCCGTGATATGGCAAACTTAACGCCTGGCGATGTTGAAAACAATACTTCAAACATCTCTAGAATACCTGGTATTGAATTTTCAGTGGACATAGCTGTAGCCATGATCGCAGCTGTAAATATTCTTTTCTCCATCACGTCATCTCTGGGCAACATTCTGATCCTGATTGCCCTTCGTAAGGTAACTTCTCTTCATCCTCCAACTAAACTGTTGTTTCAATGCCTGGCGATCACTGATCTTGGCGTTGGTGTTACTTCCCAGCCACTCTTCGCCACTGTGCTGCTAACTGATTATAGAAATGTTAACTGGAGCCTTATTGGCAACTATTTATCCCTTATTTTTTGTGGGGTGTCGATGCTCATATCGACTGCCCTCAGTGTGGACAGACTTCTCGCTCTCTTGTTGGGATTAAGGTACAGACACGTTGTAACACTGAAGAGAGTTCGTATAGCTGTTGCCGGTTGCTGGTTAACTCCTCTTGTGACTGCGTTGGTCATATTTTTAACTAGGGGAAAGATCTTTCCGAGAATGTTGACGATTTTAATAATTCTTTCTGTCATTATCTCAGTGTCTTCTTACACGAAAATCGTCCTTAAACTTCGGCAACATCAAACCAGTGTACAAGAGAATGTCCACCAAGGAATGGCGAAAGCAGGAGGAGTTCCAATAAACTTAGAACAATATAAAAGGACTGTTGTAAGCATAGCTTTGGTGCAGATATCATTAGTCGCATGCTATGTACCATTTCTTATTTTTCTTATAGGACATCTCGGGGATTACAGTATTCCCAATTACGTATTTTTCCTAGTCAGTACGACCTTCGTTTACCTTAACTCGTCTTTAAACCCGTTTTTGTACTGTTGGAGGATCAAAGAAGTTAGACAAGCAGTATTGGGTACAATCAAAAGGTTTTGCTCATGTCCAAGTTGATTAACAACTGGTATTGTCGATATTCGAAAGCACATAAAAATCGAAATTGTTTGAACACTGAACAATCCTTTAGTAAACAGTGGTCCTCCTTAATAAACAACTGCTGGGAAAATAAAAATGTTTGATTGCATAGTTATTTCCATCATGAAGCGTTAAATTAAAAACCAGTAGATGCATCGAATTAATGCAAAATAGTCAGAATAAAGGATCGAACACATTAGAGTGAAGAGTGGAGTTTCAGGCGTTTTACTGAACCAGCGTTTAACCTAAGCCAGGCTTTACTCTGCATATAAATAAGTCCATGTATGAAAGTGTTCACAACAGTCTCCTCGTAATTTTAAAGAATTTACCCCAGGACCTAGGGACAGATTCACAAGGTAATTGCCCTTCCCTAATAAGCTGTATGCGGTGTATGCAGGAAGTACAGTGACTGTTGTCGACAGGTTGACGAGATATTTATAACTGGATAAAAGGTAAGTGCATAATTTAAAGTGTTCACGTGCACGTGTGACAAGAAGACTGCGAACAAAATGTTGTGTAAACATATGATGGTAAATTTTCAGTTCGGTGAAGAAATGAAAAATGATGTAATCAACATGTGCCCGAGCACGGGTAAAAAAAAAACCCTGAATCCCCGACAGGAATTGAACCTATGATCTTCGGTACTCCTGTCGGATGCTCTAACCACTGAGCTACGATGGACTCGTGGCGGTTTGGCTATGTTGGTTCATGTATGGCATGCGTGTGATAAATACATAAGTATGTTAATTCAAAGTAACTAGAAATACGTGTATCGCAGAACATCGTGAAGCTCGGGGAGAGAGCCCATAAAATATCATCTGAGAAACACAGGCAGCCCAAACTCCCGTTACGAGGAAAGGGTGTAAAGTATTTCTACCAGGAGTTATGAAAACCGGGTTAGCAAACATTTTGTAATTTTTCTCAACTTCCGCTGTCTAATAGCTTGTTTACTGTGTTGTTTGGTTATGTCGTTTGTTTTTTTGGCTTGTCTTGTGGTTAGAGATTTGTGTAGAAGTGGATGTAGCCCCCCCATTTTTTTCCCTACCCACAATTCTTTCTTTAACACAAGTGACAGTTATCAGTTTGAAATCAGGGGGCGCTTAAGGCTGGTTTCGGTGCTGTTTAGCACTTTAGTTTTATATATTGGTCACCTTGAGAAAAGTTTCCCGGAGAGCATCATGTAAAGCTCTGAGATGGGACAAAGTTATTACGATTCGCAGAGTCTGCATCGTCCAATATCGTATTATATTCTCGTTTCATTTGGCTAAACGGATTAATCTCCCTGATCCGGGCTGAGACAGAAAGGTACGATATTGTTCGCTTTTCTAAGGTGACCACTAAGTCTTTGGCCTCGGGAACAGGCTCTTAGGAGTCAAATGAATTACTTGAGAGCAAAATTGCAGCTGAACTTTGACCCGGGCCAAGACTTAGTATTTTTCGGGTGTGAAAACAAGGCTAAGGTGATCCGCCGACCGTGTGACTCTACATCCGGGAACTTGAATAAGACGAGTGTAAGAGGAAGGTCCAGAGGTGTTTATCTGGCAATAGGCTGAGTTTTTCCGAGTTATTCGATGATATTTCGCTTATGTTAAACGTGAGAAGATTATGCGTGGTTGTGGATAGTCTTATCAGTGCCGCGAAAGTGTGTGATTGTGTGATTTCCGCATGCTGTTGACAGCTATGTGATTGCGTGGTTGAACTGCGGTTTCGCCAAAATATTCTGTGCTAGCCATTAATATTGTTTCGTCGGTGTTTAGCTTAGCTGATTGTACCTTGGAAAAGCAACTCTCGACTCAGGAAAATTAGATCTAGGTCTAGTTTCAGCAGGCTCTAATGGCATTGCACCATAGGCCGGTTTTTGCAGACAAGAAGGTGATAATTTGTGCACTATGTTTCATTCAGTTTGTAGTCTATTCCATGCGGAATCCTGCTGTTTATCGGACCGCCAAAAAAGTAGTGTTTTGCTAGCTATTTAAGTTGTTATGTAAGCCTTAACCAGGCACTCTTTCGCTGCAGCTCACTCAACTTAAAAATTTCTAGACTGAAATGACACCGGTTTGAAACTTCGCGAAGTCAGTTTACTGAATAAATGTTCTAAAATTTGCGTCATTCTAAATTTGGACTCGTTGGAATGCTTCTAGAGACCATTAACGCACTGCCCGGCGTCATATAAAGGCTTTTAATCGGCCTTTGAATGAGTTTTGTTGTTTTAAATTGCCAAGTAGTAGAATGACTTGATATTTTTGCTTGATCTCGTACCCAGATCTCACTCTGTTTTACACTGAAAAGTGAGAGCCGTGGGAGATCTGGGTACGAGATTAATTTTTGCTAACCCGGTTTTCAAAAATCCAGGTATATTTACTTACCTTAGGTGACGCGTGACCTTTTTGCTAGACGCAGACGTTCTTAGGGGTTCGTCACTCTAAGACCGTGTGTGTGGGAGGCTAGAGTTTGGGCTGCCTGTATGAGAAATGGAAGAAATTGAGTAGTCATAGAGGGTCAGAATTAAGCCTCGTTGGTGTCTAGTTAGTGTCTTTAAACCCGTTTTTGTACTGTTGGGGGATCAAAGAAGTTAGACAAGCAGTTTTGGGTACAATTAAAAGGTTTTGCTCATGTCCAAGTTGATTAACAACTAGTCTTGTCAATATTCGAAAGAACTTAAATACTGAAATCATTTGAACACTGAATAATCCATAATTAAATGGTAGTTCTCCTTACAGTGTAATAGCTCAAAGTCAAAACAATTTTTTTAAAGATAAAAATGTTTGAATGCATAGTTATTTTCATCATGAAGCGTTAAATTAAAAAGAACCAGTAGATGCCTCCTACGAATGCAGAATAATCAGAATAAAGAATTGAAAAGGAAATCCGTGTAAATATTATTAAGCTGTCTACTTGAATGGACTCCCGTTTACTGTGCTTTCCACTAGATCTATGATCAAAGTATCCAACATTACTGTAAGGCTTTGACTTCAGCACGTATTTCCTCAGTGCCTACACCAAGCTTCTGCCTTGATTTCCAAAATGGCCGTGAGAAGCTGCGAGCAATTAAAAAAAGGGGGGGGGGTCGTTATTCTGGACCTAAAGAGGTTCAATTTTAGATAACAGGCAATGCAACTGAAGTTAACGTCAAAGCATGTCATCCCTTAAAGATTAAGTGATATCTTGTGGAAAAAAACAAAGTTATTTTTTTTTACGTCGTTGCAAGTAGCGCTGAAGTTACAGTGTTAAGGGATGTTTTACTTCTTCTTTAGGAAGAGGAAGTTGAAATTCATAAGCAGAAAGAAGAATACATTAACGCCGCTGACGACATCGTCGATCTCGCTGAACTCTTTTTTTTTCCTCAACTTTCCTTTAAACCTGTTTCTGCTTTTGCTTTTCAGTTTTCCAATGACAGTCATTCCTAGTCTTTTCTGATTTCCCAATGATCACCAATAAGCTGGCTAATTGGCAAGAATACATAAAAATTAATATGCAAACAGGAAAGTTTTCATTCGGACAAATAGATCATCTATGCTACCCACAACTGATCTGAAAAATTGATCTGTTTTACTTTTTTTTTAAGTCGTACGTCCAGAATGAATGTGCAGTAGTATAGTAGGTATCACCACGTTTTATTCCTCTTTTGAAGTACTTTAACGCCTTTTTGATGTGAAAACGCCGCTGACGTCGTAATCGATCGCAATTTGGCCCTTGATCTTCTCTATGGCGCGTTTTCGGGGTCAAAAATAAGTGTATAGTTACCACACAAACTGAGTTGCCAAATAAATGATTGTCTTAGATGATGATTGTTGGTTTGTGACCTGTTTTGACGTGCTGTCTTGCGATGGAATCCTTTCGTCCTGTCATGACTTTCAAATCCACACTTCTTACTCGAGTTGATTTGAGAATGGTTTACGTGCATGCATAATTACTTTAATTTGACATCTTTTTGCATACTTTCTATGGAACCAATGCAAATAAAGCAATTTCTTAAATAAGATTTTTTAAACTCACCCGCATTACTTTAGAAATCACTTTTTTGCGTGCTTACTTGCGAAGGATCATTCGATGATCAATTTCGTAAATACGTGTTTTTTTTAAAAAAAAAAAACCATCATTACTTTTGAAATCTGTTTGCATGCTTACTTGCAAAATACGTGACAGGAGGATCATTTGATAAAAGAAACGAAGGATCCTTTTTTACATGGGGATTTCGACTCCATGGATATGTTTACCCGCGTCACTGTCGAAAACGCGCTATTGTGCTTCACTGCACCCAACACGAAACGCGATTCTGACTCCCAAAATGACTTTTGAATTTGCTTTCGCTGCCCAACAGAATGACTTGCGAACTTTCAACCAGGCGTTTCTACCCAAAAAGGCCCGAAAAGAGTCTGGACACTCCTCCCCAGTGTCTCCGGGTCATCGATCAAAAATGGTCGCTCGTCGTTGAGTTGATCGACCTTGATCGTTTTTCTAAGAAATGAGCTTGACACCTGAGCAATCGCATTTCTCTCAAAACCTTCGTCTACACCTAATAGATCTTTCGAGAAGATTGGAACAGGATGTTAATGAAAATGTTGCTGACTAAGAGTTGTTTCGGTTGCAACAGACTTCGAATCAGGCGTTATACATGTAGTCGTACATGAATTATTTAACGAGAACCACGTGCTTTCGAGGGGTGCATGGTCTCATCATTGTGCCATTTTATGATATTTTGACTGCACAAACTTTCGAGTGCGTCGCTCAGTTTTGCGAATCGATCCCAATTTATTGAGGGAATGTGCCCAGCGTCTACAGGGGCGGATCTAGGGGGAGGGTGCCGGGGGTGCGCACTCCCCCTGAGATGACCTGCAGTTTTCTAATACAACTGGTATTCTGCCAAAAAAAAAACTATGTGGTTTATTGGTGTTGAAGTAGAGCAAGAGAAGAGTGCACCCCCTCCTAAAAAAAATTCTGGATCCGCCCTTGGTCTAATTGAAACAGCCGATTTTATC